TGCTGTACCAGGTCACGGATGCGGTCGCCCAGCGAGCGGATGGACAGGTCCTTGGCCGAGAAGGGCTGGATGTTTTCCACCTGCCAGCTACCTGTGTGTGTGTGTGTGTGTGTGTGTGTGTGTGTGGGGAGGGGGGGGGCAGCAGTCAGCACCCTCTGTGGGCAGCTGGGCCCCCCCACCCCCCCTGCCCCTACGCACCATCCTCAGCCCGGGCCAGGTAGGCGATGGTGACACCGCCGATCTCGGAGTCACTGTAGCGCAGCAGGAAGGTGCCGTCGGGCGCGGTGCTCAGCAGCCGGCTCACGTACTGCTTGCTGATGAAGCCCCTGATCAACCTGTGATGGCGGGTGGGGGTCAGGGGTCAAGAGTCACCCACCCCCTGCGCCCCAGCACAGAAGGGAAGGGGTTCAGACACGGCAAGGCAGGGGCTCAGACACCTGGGTCCCCTCTGGCCACACAGACCTGTCAGACCAGTAGCTCTTGAGGCAGCGCTTGGTGAGGTCCAGGACGCCATCAAACCACTGCCAGAAGGTGAAGCCACGGCCTGGCAGGATCTCCTGGGGGTGGGGAGGGCATGAGACCAAGGAAACCGCCCCAGCCCTGCCAGTGCCCTTCACTCCCGACCCGCAGCCCCTCAGCCCTGCCGGTGCCCCTCACTCCCAACCTGCAGCCACCCCCATCCTGCTGGTGCCCCTCACTCCTGACCTGCAACACCCCTTGCCCTGCTGGTGCCCGTCATTGCTGACCTGCAGCCCCCCTACCCCGCTGGTGCCCCTCACTCCCGACCCGCAGCCCCCCACCTTGTTGAACTGGGCCCAGGACATGGGGCGCCCGGTGAAGGCCTCAGGGCCAGCACTGTGGTCGTTGAAGATCTTCTGGGCCAGGAAGAAGAAGTGCTCGGGCTGCAGCCCCCGGGTGGTCTGCACTTCGCTCATGAACTTGAGGTTCAGCGTCTCACACATGCGCTCCCAGGGCACCCGCTCGGCCACCACAAAGGGCACCCGGTCCTGGGGGAGAAGTGGGGAGGCAGCGCTGGCTTGGACGCCTGGCTTCTCCCCATGCCTGTCCCTGGTGCCAGAACCCAGGTGTCTGGGCTCCTAGCATGTCCCTCTGACCGCTGCCTTCCCAGGGTGGGACAAGAACCCAGGCATCTGGGCCGCTGGCGCCCCCAGATCCCCCCTGCTGGACCCTGCACCACCCCCCCAGGACTGGGAGGGAACCCAGGCATCCAGGACACTCACGGGCTCAGCAAAGGCGTTGTCCCACAGCACCGTGGCCTTGGCGTTGTTGTCCTGGTTGCCATGGACGATGACCACGATGGGTAGCGACAGGACCTGGGGGGGGCCGGGGCATCATGGCAGGGGCACCACCAGGTTTGGCAGGTGTGTCCCAGCATGCACTGATGCTTGTACAGGGGGGGCTCCAAGCCAGGAGCCCTGTAGTGGTGCCCCCAGACATGGAAGGAGCCAATGCTGATGGGCTCCCAGAGCAAAGGGACCCAGGTGTCCGGGTTGGTGGTACCTGGAGGGGCAGGGTGAGGTTCCCAGGGCTGAGGGTGACGGTGACACTGAAGAGCACGGCGCACTTCTCCTCCGTCACCGACTCAGAGCCCTTCCGCTCGCAGCGCTTGATCTTCTTCAGCAGCT